ATTGTGTATTTAGATATGAATGTCCAGCTCATATAACAAAAGCTTATGTCCAGTTATTTATGTCCTTATGAACCTATGTCCAAGGGAAACAATGTAAAAGACTTGGACATCTTCACTTAGTTCTTAACTATGTACATAGACTGGTCATGCAAACAATATGACATTTCTACAGGCAGAAATTTAAAATTTGCACAAAACTTGCTATAAGAATATTTCTCTCTCCTCCTCTCTTACATCTGTAATACACATAGATTTTTTTTTACTTGCTCTCCATCTCCTCATTTCTCCCTCCCTTCCTCCCCCCTCTTTTCTTTTTTTGTAACTTCATCTAGCAACATGCCACTATGGGTTCCCCTTCCTCTAGACACAACAATATTAGCATCCTATACTTGCAATGAAAAAGCTATTACTTGAGTCACCCACTGAGAAATGCTCCACAATCTTTGCTCAGTAGAGTCCCATGATTGCAATGCCAACATCTTTGGATGGCCGGCGGTCTTTGACCAAAAAGTTGATCATGCTCTCTGATTTGATGAGCAGGTTGCAGCCTAAAAAGAACACCCCAAAGATGACAGTCAATGAGAGAACACAAAGAACAGCAATCTGGACCACTCGGGTGATGAAGAGGTTCCTTTCATCTGGGAGCAGGACGGATGCCCCTCCATCGCTGGCCACCATTGTTCCTGTCCCATTGCAGCAGCCAATCAAAATCCCCAGATCTTGGGATCGATTGGAGTACATCCCTTCTTCCAACAGTGTTTGGTTAAATAAGGTCCCATTCATTCTGTATTTCAATCCTATGGAAGTTCCAGAAAAATGAGAACAATAAGCTTTTTTTCCTGAGTGACCCTAAATAATATAAGGACTCCTCAGTAGTCAGCAAGGCTTCTTGATCTTCTTGCACAAAGGCACTGTCAGCACAAGAAAGTAGACAGCTGTAAAAGGACAAGGAAACAGTTCCACCAACACCACACCATCCAATCTTTAAGAGAAACGGGGCAATTCCAAATGTCAGATTTCCAAGCAGCTGGGAGCATGTGCTGTCAAACAGGCTGGAATCTCAGGAGATGCACGTTGCATTCTACAGTAAAGTCTCTAAGCAGCATGATAAAAACAACTTGCAGGGAAAAAAACTCCACCCCGAACTGATCCTAAGCACCACCTTCATCCACCACTACAGGCAGAGAGCTGCCAGTCTGCTAACAGTCCTTCTCTATCCAAAGCTCATGTGCTGATAGGATGCACCAGCATTACCAAAGGCATAGAAATCTTTTCTCCAAAGAGCTCCTGAGTGCTGTGTATAAATCCATTCTTTTGCTGTATCTAATCACTAGCTTATCAGCTGCAAGTCTAGTTGACAACTGTTCTCCCTGAGATTAGCAAAGAATATCTTTCCTTACCATTTTAAAAGGAAAGACCCTGCAGGGGTTTGAGCCTGAGAAGTTTCTTTCTCAGACTCTTTGTTGAGAGAGAGATCAAAGATCACCTGGTCAGCCTTTTTCCAGTCTTTAAAAAGAAATGTGGTTTTTTTTTTAATAGCCTGGTCTAGTTTCAATATCCCTTATTAGTATAGTCTCTAATGGATATTTGCAAGCATTTTTCCTTGCTGTGGACTGTGGAAAGGGTGGGAAGCTGATCTGAGGATTCTTTCATCAAAGTCCACCCCAGGTTATAAGTACAGTATGCAAAGAATTTATCCACATTTCTTATGCATCATAAAAAGTGCTTTCCCCAAATAGTGCCTCTGTTTAGAATGAGATTCAGGTACTCTTCCTAAGCTAGCACTACCTTTGTAGGTGATTGCTTTTGTTTTATTTATCTGTTATGTTTATGAAAAGCCTAAGAAAATTATTTTCTGGGCTATTTTTACCCTACAGGAGACAACTACTGTACTATAGTAGTACAACTGATTAATATGACTAAATCCGAGCAGTATTCCAGTAGATCTATAATTGCAGAAGAGGAATCAGGCTGTGTGCTGTCATTTATATGTTGCTCTTGGACTTCCCAGAGACAGATGGGACCATTATAGAAACAGAATGTAGATTAGATTGTTTGTGATCTGATCCAGGATCAACAGAGTTCTTCTTATATTCTTACAATGTAAAATTCTTAATACCATAATGTGGGATGTAATTTTTTTTTTGGGGGGGGGGTATAAATAGTTTTTAGTAAAATTAAAGCAATGACCAAATATGTAACATAGTGTTCAGAAGAGTATATGTTGATGTTTTTAAAGCATTAAAATGTTTTAAAATAACATTTTAGTGCCAAAGTGCCTAGCATGAATGCTACAGGAAAGGAATACTACAATGATTATGTCGCCACTAACAGGACTTTGCCTCGAATAATTTTGTCCCACCCTTCACTTTCTGAGACATCTGAAACAGCTCCTCTAAAGAGGACCTTATAATTCAGTATTGTAAGTGGGAGAAAGTAATCCTTCAGAGCTTCTGGGATTAGTTGAATGGAATAAATAATCCTGACATCTTAAAATAAAAAAGAGCTAAAGATCAACCTTTTCTCACCTGGTGGTCCTCTATGCATTGGACTAAATCTCATTCAATCCTCATTCTGCAAGAACAAATTGTTATGCTGGATAATTACAATGGAAAGTGTGCTCCAATGTATCTAATACTGGTGTGGACACATTTAGAATATACAGTTTAATTATGCTAAATAATGGAGAGATGAGAATCCTGATGGGCCAACAGGCAATGGCCTTAGTTTCACTTTTTACACGTTGAGGCAGAAAAGTTCTGAAGAAACAAATGGCCTTAAGGAAGGAGTCATATCCAAAATCTATAGACTTTCAATAAATCTATTTCTTTAGCACTTCCCTGAGTCCATAATAGCAATTCTCATGCATGTCTTTATAGCCAGAACTCACTTAAGGCTCAGCTGTAATTAATCCACTATATTCCAAATGGTCCTGTTCACAAGGAGAACTGAAACTCTCAAGTAGCCTTTCCACTCCCAAGGAGATTCCTGTTTTGAAGTCCTTAGATGAACCTTGTTGCCAAAGATACAAGAGTATAGAGATACTTACAAGAGTATAGACAGGTTGAATAAAAATCTTTTATTGCTTGGACCTTGGTTCACTATAAGCAATCAGGCGGTATGATTTTGGAATAGTTGCCAACATGTTCAGGTTGGGAATTAGAATTAGAAGTGTTAGAACACCCACATTCAATTCAATTTTTCTCAGTATCAGTTGTATGTTTAAAAAAGTAGCTAGGAAATTGGCTTTGCCTGACTATGTGGATTTTATTTTTGCACGCAAGAGGGCAGCAAGACAACAGAGACCAAATGAGATCAAGGCAGGCTACATTTAAGTGAAAAACTCATCCCCGTGTTCATTAAAGAAGCTCAAGTGCTTTCAGTCAGTTTTGAAACTCCTTTTTCCAAGAGATTCCTGACATTCTGTTTTCCCATCCCATTATGCCTTTTCTTTTTGATAAAGTATTGAGAGTATCTCGTTTAATTAAATAGGTAGCAAGCACCAGGAATTTTTACTTGCATTCTGTTTTCCAATGATAAGGCATTCAGATGACATCCTTGTAGAGTAAAAATATTCAGGACATCATCCAGAAAATGATGAACTATTAGCCCCCTCCCACACCTCCTTGTTTAAGTTCCAAATTAAATTTCTTCAGTCTTGGTTAACATCTAGTCCCTTTGCCTTGATTTGGAAAGTTGTAAGGAATGTCTGCTGAAATCTCAGAAGGAAGGGATAAGGGACCAGTTGCTTCCCATGTTTAACCAAACCAGAAGTAGCCAGTAAAATTGTATAATAGATTTAAATTTGATTTAGTTTATATGATTTATACCGCTAGTAGAATTCAGTTTTTCTAAATTAGAACTGCAGGAAGCAATTTTTAAAGCATGATGTAATGTTATACATCACACCTTACTTATACTATGCTTCATAAAGAATTTAACTCTATTCTCTGAATTTGTATCTGATACTTCTTGGTCACTTAAAAACTGTTCTGCAATTGTCTCTAAAGAAATGATTGCTATACAAATGCTTAGATAAATCAAAAGTTCCAAGAGGGCTATGCAAAGCTCTAAGTGGATATGCAAAATAACCTGTCTAAAATCAGCTTCAAAAGAAGAGCATTTATGTAAATATTTATCCAAGGATTATATACTTCTATGAGATTTTTGCCATTTGTACATTTGTAGGGGATGATGGGAGATGATACAAAGGTGGGCAAGGCCAAGGTATAACTTGCTGGATTAAGGCTAAATCTTTCTCCAGGCAGGTAGTGGGGGGGGGGAGAGGTTTGAGATTGGGAGGGAAATGCCACAGCCCCTCTAAACTTCTTCTCTTTCCTCAGAGCTACAGTTCCTATTTTCTGAATCAATTGCGACAATGATCAATAAACCAATCCAAAAGAAAAGAAAAGAAAAGAAAAGGAAAAAAAAGAAAAGAAAAGAAAAGAAATAGTTTGTGGTGAGGAATTGGCGCCAGTTTGAATGGGATGATTGCTGCTATTTCTTTAAATTTGTCATTAAACCAAGGGTCAAGTAGGTTTAAAGGAGGGGGGTCTTTCTCACGTTGTTTATTCATGTAGTTTTCTTATAATAGCTCCACTACAGTAAAGATAATTAGACGCAGGAGGAATAGAGAGGTTCAGAGTTCATTCCGCCACTAAAAGGAAAAAATAGTGGCCAATGAATTTAGGCACTGGGGGAGGAAATCTTTGCCAGGGATAAAGGGTGTACAGCAGTGGCTGGCAGAGGTTGTCTCCTCCCCTGCCAAGTCCCCCCTCTTTCTGGGAGGGGTGGAGAAAAGGATCCTACGAAACTGCGACCTCGGCGACCGGCTGGGGTACTCCGTGGCTCCCATCTGACAGCTGTTTCCTCTCTCTGGCCGCGTCTGCCCGGTCTTCGGATCTCTCGGTGACACCGCTTGCTAGAACTTGGCTGGTCTTCGGGGCGGACCTTTCGGAAACAGACTGCTCCGCTCCGCTCCGCTCCGCTTCGCAGTTTTGTTAAGTTGAGACCAGGATGGGCAAATTTGCCTCCCCTGTGCTTCTGGTCTTTAGGCTGCTTCTGCTCTCCGCCGGAGTCTGCGGTAAGTTGGGAACACCCGCCACTCCCCTCTACGGTTCAGCTGCCGAGCGCCTTGGATGGACTGCTGATTTTCCGCCTCTTTCTCCCCCCCCCCAACCCGGTTGAAAGAAAGCGGGGAGGTCTCTTTCCTTCGCGTTTGCTGGCTGCGAAAGGGAGGTTCGAAACTTAATGAAAAATCTCTCAAGCGTTACCTTTTTTCCTTACTTTCCAGAACAACTTGAGGCACTTTTATGCTTTCATACACTACAGTACTCAAAATAAGGCTTGTTTTGAGTTCAGTGCTCCTTATGTTCAGGTCGGTATGTGCCGACGATTGCTTTCCTATATTAAAGGGATTGGGAATATTTTTACCTTTTGAAACAAAAGCCTGCCTTTCATGCATGATATTTAAAATATAACAGGACAAGTTTGTTTCCAAGTAACATCCATATCTGGTTCTTCCTGTCCCAAATTTGATAATATACAATAATAAACTCAAATCTGAAAGCTTGGAAAAGATTCTCACCGTAGTTCCGCCCTAGTTCAAACTAGAATGCTGCCCCACCCAGAGATATGTATAGATAGCAGGATGGGGAACTACCAGCCCCTAAAAGAGGTTGCTAGCTTTTTTTCCTACATTATTCTAATCCTAGTTTTATAACCATTGGAGCTGCTCTGGATAACTTTCCATTTTTCCAAACTGATTTTTTCCCCTTAACAATGCAGGTAAAAAAAATATACAGTACGATTGGCCTGTCCAGATTTGGGCTGGGGCCTTAGTGGAGGACAGAAATTAATACAATAGAGTTATTGCCTCTATTCTTGCGGATAGATACCGGTAGGTATGAAAATAGTATATTCCTCTCTACAGCAAGAATGGATATAATGTGATCTTTAAAGTTCCTTTAATTTTATTCAACATATGTTGGGGTTTAATCTTCTCTGGAGTAACAATTGACAGAATTAGCCGCAATTGGTTAGGTTCACACAACTAAGGCCAAAACCATGAAATCCAAACCATCAAGTTTCTGGGACTGGAAACAGAAATCCCAGTGGTTTACATTGCTTGCAGAAATGCAGTCTATGTCTTAGTCTTCCAAATTCCTCTTGTATTCAGATTTCAATCCAAAACATCCATTTTGTCTACCTATTCACTTACCTTCTACTTCACTTTCCTAGTTGGTGCTACATCAAGTCATGGAAATGAACAAAAAAGAAGGGATATAATGCCTTTGGGAAAATTAAATACGTGTGTGTGTGTGTGTGTGTGTGTGTGTGTGTGTGTGTGTGTGTGTGTGTATAAAAAGTCACAGAGAGGAGCCAGGAAGAAGATATTTCCATTTCTCCCCTCATCCTGCTCACTATGTATTTAGTTAGTGTGTTTCCAAACTGTGCATAGCCAGAGTCAGTAGTCATATATAATAAAACCAGGAGCTTTTTAGGAAGAAAAAAAGTGAAAACACAATAGATTAAATCTCTCTCAAATGCACCTACACAAACAGACACATAGAGATGCAAAGCAAGAGTCAATAATTCTAAAATGGTTTTCATCTCATACCCAGTCCATGTCTAAAGAAGCTTAAAGTTGTATTTGGCTCTTCTGATTTTCAAACCATGTTTTACTTCTTGTCTTATAACTATGTTCTGGCATATTTTACATCATTTGGTAGGTGGTGCTGTTAAAGTTTGGAATCTATCTCCTGCAATCTTCAGGCTGCTACAAACATGGCCTCTGAGGTCTGATTGCTGGGCACCATTCGGTGGCTTCTAGTATGAAGTTGCAGAGGTCAGCCCTTTGAAGTAGTCGAGACAAAAAGTACAAGTATTAACCCTATCTTTATTGTAAAGTTATCTTGATAGAAAGCACCTTTCCCCTCACTTATTTTTACTCTCCAGAAAACTAGGGAGGGTATCATCTGAGATGATGTTTCCACACCCCTCCTTCTTTTGGATTCAGATTTCTCTTATTAGACTGCTTTCCCCCCTGTTTACCCATGGTTATTTTCACAGCCCATCACAGTACAGTAGGAGAGACCAACAGTTGGATTCCATGGGGATTTGCCCATGTCATGCCTTGCTCATCACTTTCCATAACCCTTGCAGGATTTACGTGAGCCTCTTATGAACAAATCTTTAGTGCTTTTTGAAAGAGCATTGGACCTGTCTTTTTAACACAGGGTTATTGTTCCTTTGAAAGAATATTAGGCCTGTACTACCAGAAGATCACTTTTATTCAGGAAAGAAAATTGGATGGTGCCAATTGTATGCTACTAGTTCTGTCATCATTGGATTCATTTCAGATTTTTTGTTGCTTCTGCCAACAAAGGGATTTGCATGCCTGCTCTTTTGAATCCTTGTATTATTGTTAATTATCTCTGAGGAAGCAGCTAGAGTGTTGCAACTTGGTGGGATTGTTGTCTCAGAATCAGCAAAATGAGGATGCAATTTCTATCCCCCTCCCCCAAGTGAGGGGGAAGTGGACATCATTCCTTAGTATTTGTTGACAGCAAATGATTGTCCCTTCTTGCTGCACCCTACACACTTTCTACACCTGTTATTTGTGGGTCAGGCTATTTGTAAATACAAATTCAACATTCTTTCAGAAAATCACTATACCCATGGCCTAATAGGTAAAAGACATGGAACAAAAGTTGCACCATCTAGAAGTACCCTTATGATTCCTTTCTGCTTCACTCTCTGTTCTCTCTGTTCTCTGTCCTTGTTAATCAAATGACTAAAGCTACCACTTGATGCATCTTTCCAAATTTGCTCAATCTATGTTAGGCATTAGTGTTTATTTTCCTGCAGATGGAATGTTTGGTGGGAGGAAAAATGAAGCCAGTGGAATCTATTAATCCTTCGCAATAAGTAAGTATGGTTAGTTAGTTCATTGACCTTGCTATGTGACAACAAGGATTGGCAGTAAGGGTAGCACAATTCATGCCAGCATATTTTTCTCTTGGATCAAGGAGGTCAATATTACTCTGATTTGGTCGTGTGGAAGAGACCAATGAGTGCATTTGAATTTGACTGGCAAGGAATGGGAGAAATTATTTGGGAGCCAGATTGTTTGGTCAATATCTGAGTTAATTCAGTATGAACTAAAGAAAGCTTACCTACCAGTTCAGTAAGTTTTCAGGCTGGAACATAGTACAGAGTCAGGACTGATCATGCTTGTGGACAATTTCTAAGGATACGGTGATGTGGTGGTGGTGGTGGTGGTGATGAGGCCTTCCTTGATATCAGCTGCTTTCAGTACCATTGACTGGGATCTTTGGGGATAAGGAGTAGGAGCCAGGAGTAGGATTGTGCTGGTTTTCCTTTCTCTTAAGTAAGTTCCAGTTGGTGTTAGTGGTTTGGGGAGAGGGAGAGGTCAAGCTTTTGGCCTTTACATATGGGGTATACTAGGGCTTGAAACTCGTACTCTGTTTTAACATCTAGATAAAATTTCCGAGTGAGGTCAATAGCCAGCACAATGTCTGCTTCTTCAGTATGAGGATACTCAGCCATACATCTCAAACCTGAACTGGCCAAGGGATGTTGTTAATGTCATGTCTCAGTGCTTTGAGACTTTGAAGATCTAGACAGAGAGGAACAGGCTTTAATTCAACAGACAGAGAGGAACAGGCTTTAATTCAACAGTGCCCAAGGGAGACCACTGTACCTCAGATAGACGGCGCGGAGTCCCTCCTTGTGAAATGGGGGCAAGGGGTGCAAGTGGGCTTGTTGATTATATACCTGGCTCCCTGCTATGTATCAACAGCCCTGCCTGAGCTGGCTGACGTGATAGCCGGGGTGGCGGTTGGGACCCCCAGACTTATGGTCTTGGGGGATTTCAACC